CTTGGTTTCAGTGGTTTCTTCAATATGGCTGGGCTGTAAATAAATAAAACCATTGGAATTGCAATTCGAAGGATCCATGTTTTTTTTATCAATATCAATCATAATAATTGAAGCTAACTAAAAGTTCCGTACCTGTTTAGCCACATCCTTACGTTTCTTCTCAGACATGATTTTAGTGTACCAGCTAGAAAATTTAAAAGTTTATATTAAAAGTACAAAAATTTGTTACATTTTGTTACATTTTAAATATATCATTAGATCAAACAATTTACTAAATACTTTATACTGTTTTGCTGTGTATATCAGAAGTAGAAGCAATTTTATTAGCAGTATTGACAAGGGATTTTCTTTCTAAATACTTTTCATTGTACTATAATTGTTTTCCTGAAATTATATTGCAATTGAAAATTAAAATGATTGAGAAACAAAGCCGATGACAAAAGACACCAGTTTTAGAAAAGTGGTTATATGATTTCTCGATAACGAAAACATGGGTGAAATTTCCTCGCAATGTTAGTTTCACTTCCAGAAGTATGGAATGGTCTTTGTTTTGCACATAAAAAGTGTAGATGTCCTTAGTCAATAGTTCTTAGTTAAAAGTTCAAATATCAGTGTTTCAAAAAAATGGCATTTTATGATGATTTAAATGACACATTTTTATTTGGTTTTCCATAATTTCGAATTTTTTAAGTTATCGCTTAAGGAAATCGTTTGCAATTATTATGACCAACAAATAATCTTTAACATTCAAATCATTTTTTCAATTGAAAATTCAAATTTAATATCAACCTGTTAAATATTAGACAAGTAAATCTAATTATCAATGTGAAGAGCAAGTGAAAACTGCGTCCAAATTGAGAGAAAAAAATTCATTATACATTTGTAAGTAACGAACAAAAAAACGCACGTAAAGAAGTACGGTATTAAGAGGAAATAGAGCTCGGCTATTATAGCTTTTATTTTATTGAAATTACAAGCTATGGAAAATATTTAGTTGTTCAATGGAAGGGTATTTTAGGATTAAGAACAGATTATTTTGTGATTTTTATACCTCTTCTTCAAATTGAATGGGCATTTTACTAATTTAATCTGGTCACAAAAATTGGATTTAATAAATTACTGTTCCTCCCATGTTATCATGTAGTTGAGAAAATGTCGACATATATTAATTTATATTTTTGCTTTGCTTTGCTTGTGACGTTTGCTTATACTTGCGGACATTTTTTATCTAAGATTCTTCAAAATCATATTTTTTGAGCCGGGTGTGTTCTCCCGTACAAAGGAATATAGTTGCAAGGCAGATAACTTTTGAAAGTTTCTTTTGAGTATATGATGTGTTAAACACCGTCAATTTTACCGTAAGTACGAAATATTTGACCCTTTCCTAATACTTTCCCTGAACCCAATTTTCGAATTCCCATAATAGAGGAAAATATTACGAAAAAACTTCAAAATACATAATGAAAAATATAAATTTGATCATTACCTTACAAGATTCTCAATCTGCAGTAGTTTCAAGTTTTACACTCCAGTAATTTATGTTACTTTTCGATCTGCTGGCTGGTAAAACTATATTCGTTTTAAGTATTTGCAGAGTTATTACAAAAAATATGAAATACTTCTGGAATTTTACTAAACATCGCTTTTTCATATTTTTACAATAAAATACAAGTCCATCTATTCGTATGTATTGCTATTTGCGATTGGAACATTTGAGTTCGGTTTTCTGCAATTAAAAAAAGTTCTTCTTTGGTGTTCTATGAAATATTATGGATTTGTTGAACAAATAAATTACTTATTCGCTTAGTTGCTATATCGCACATTTATAGCAAATGCTTAATTGTGTAGTATACCTATAAATAAATCAACTTTAAACGGATACTTTCGTTAATGAAATATAATACAACTTTATTTAAAAAAATTTTTAGTTTTAAATATTTTTGAGCAATTTTTTGTATTGTCCTTAAAAAGAGAACTTTTTTCTCATACTGTTTATTAATTCTTTTGATTACTTTAGATAGTGCTTCCAAATAACAAACGCTCATTAAGATACAGAACAATTTATTTCATTTTAGAAATAATGTATGTGAATACAATTGAGTTTTTCGGGCCATAAGTGGCCCATGTTCAAATCAACATTGCTCCCACTTTCATCTAGGATTTTGCCATTTCAGTATAGCAGAGAGCCTTAGAAAACTCTCGGCATTATGAGAACAAAACGATGTTGACCACTGGCGCAACTCAACTTTTCGCAACATGCTCTTTCTGATCGCTGATCGAGTCGCTGTCCGACACAGGAAATTATCATAATCTTTACTTATGTGCTTAGAGTCGGATGGAAAAACCTAAATACACAAGAATACCCTCCATTACGCAAACACTGCAAGTAATTGATGCTGTTATCAGGTTAGACGTTGTGGGTGTGTTTTATTGTCTGATTCTAAAGCTGTATTTATTACAGGACCAGTTGGAATTGGACATTTGCTGTGGTTCGAATAAAGGGATCATTTCCATGGGAAAACAAACAATTCTTAATCGCAACTTTAATAAAATACAAATAGAAAATACAGCAGAATAAATTTCTTGCTCAATTCTAACTGCTGATACATATATTTTCCCAAACATGTTTTAGTTTGTATGGCCAAAATTATACATCTTCAGACAATCCAGATCACTAATGCAACTTTTTACTATGGCCCGTTCAAGTTTCTTAGTTAGGAAAATTTCCTTTTGCTGTAGGGCGACTCAAGTAAAAAGTTTATTGAAAATAGCGCAACTTTAAGTGCAACTCAAAAAACTAGAAAAATAAGAAAAAGTAAATAGTTTTTGCTTAAAACACGCCTTTCGGGACTGGAATCGCGTGTAGAATTTTTCTTATTTTGTTTTATGTTAATTCGTCCTGTTAATTTATTATTTTAAACTAATCTTTTGACACAAAGAAGCATAGCAATAGAAACTAAAATAAAGAAAACATCAACGTTCGATAAGTGCGTCACACACTCAAATCGCTTTGAATTTCTTAGAACTTTTAAGAGACACAAGAAAATTGAACTCGCTACCTTCGTCGCCTCGTCCAGAAACAAATCACTGTTCATTCATAAGTTTAAGTTAGTTCTGCCACGTTCTGGTCAAGAAACCATACGCTTTTCCCTTTGGATATTTCTTTAATTAATGTTGATAAAAACTGCTTACTTTGGGTGAAAAATATTTGTGCACACTCTCTAATTATAAAGTATAAAATAAAATAAACGTATAGAATTACGTCATGATTCCAAATCTAAGTTGTCCAACATAAAATCCAAGTCCAATAATTTTTGAACCTACCATTCCGCTCCAAACGTTAAACCCAAATTTAATTTGTGGTCTCTTTTGCTCAACGTGGTGCGGATTTGTTTGATTTCAAAGATGTTCATTGTGTCGATTAAACATACCACAATTTGTAAATCGAGTTTCATCGGTCCTCAATATTTTATAAGGGAATTGGATGTCTTGTTGGCATTTGTTTCGCAACCATGCACAAAAACTCACACGGAGCTCCTCATCCCCTGGATGTAAAGTTCGGAATATTGATAATTTATACGGATGGAATATGTGTTTTTTTTTTAACTCTCATCACGGTGCTTTGGGAAGTACAGGATTCTGCTGCGATCTCTCTGGTTGAAATCTGTGGATTCTGGCTTGGACAATTGCCAAGACATTAACCTCGAGAGCTTCATTTCTTGGCGGCGTAAAACTTCCATAAGTGCGCAAATTAATAGTCGTATAATTATTTGAATGTTTTTAAGGACGGTTCACGACGATCAACATACCTCTCAAAATAGTAATCAGAGGCATGTCGCGCTTTTCTTGATTGGAATAATTTATTTTTACAATAAAACTTACTTAGATTTGAATTAATCAATTAGTTGAATTTAAACTTGAATGTCAAAAATTGAAAGATGTTGTTATTATTTGTTGCTATGGAAAAATGCTACGTGTTATATAATTTTTCATGACTAACTTAGATCAACTAAATTGAAAAAGTATAAATTGCTCGCAAACACTTTATTTTCAAAAAAATCCTAACGATGTGATATATCACAGAAATCATAATAAAATAATCTATTCGGTACAGCAATATAAAGTACGGTTGCCATTTAAAAAATACAAATTTGTATCATATGTCAAAAATGACAGTTAATTTGGAGAAATGTTTTATGCCATTTTGTTTGGAATCCCAAATATCTCTTGACAGCAGTCAAATTTTCGAAAGATAAAATTGGTTTCGAGTAGAGCCTTCAAAACTACAGTTCTTTGTTCATTTAACCTTTTTCGTAACTGCTATAGTACTGGTCATCGAAAAAACTCACCCTGTAAATTCACTTTTTTATTCTGCTGTTTTTTTGACTTTGCTTTTTTAAGCAAATTCTATATAGGGTAACCCACCGGAAACCGCCGCGATCGATATCTGGCAAATTATATTTAGGAGAAACGTGAAAAATAGACCGTGTGCGGCGTCATTGAGGGCAAGCGGTCTAAAATATTTTCAAGTTGGCCACACTTCCGGTTATACCGGAAGAAGGTATCAACTTGCTTGTTTTAAATAAGTACATATTATATTTTTGAATTCTGCTCCAAATTCTAAATATATTTCATGTACATAATCTATACATAGGTGTGTGTAATATAATATAATATCTCGGAAGCAGAGGCTTGTTGGGACATCGACTAAGAATATCTTTTTTGTACAAAATTAATAGGCGATTAGACCCAACCAACTTAAAAGTCAGAATACCGGATGACCAAAAAGTTGAAACAATTTTTCTGCCCAGATATCGCCGTAAGTGGTTTTTTCTACAAGTTGATCAAAATCTGATGATATACTTGGATTTATTATGATCAAAAACCCCTGTATACCAAATTTTATTAAAAGATGCAGCTCCGTTCAAAGTAGAATAACGAAAAACTGAAATTAAATTACAACTTTGACGCCCTGTTTGTCGGCAACCGTCAACTTTCGGACTAAGGTAAGTTGTGTTAAATCATCATATTTTCACACCAGCAATCGACCATTTTGTTTTGTGCTATTACTTTTTGGACACCCTGTATATAAAATGGGAGTTTCCAACTGAAAAAAATAATTCTCGGTGATTTCCTCAACTGTATTTTGAAACAAATTTTTTAAGCACTTTGTATTAAAAGTTTTCCAAATGTCGAAATTCCATTAAAGTAAGTCCTTTTCAACAATAAATACTTACATTAAGTAGCGCATATTTTTTCATAGGAAAAATTAACAATTATTCGAGTGGCTGCAACAGTAATTTTTTCCATAAAAATTCAAATATATCAAAAACGGTTATACTTAGGTATAGGATGTTATCCATGAAATCTATTTAGATTTTAAAGTAGAATTTTCAAAATGTAATAAAATATAGGAAGTTCGATTTAAAATAAGCAAGTTGATACCTAATTCTGGTATAACCGGAAGCGCCGCCATCTTGAAAGTATTCTAGATCTCTTGCCCCCAATGACTTCAGCACACTGACCAATTTTCAAACTTCTCCTTTCTTCTAAAGTTTCTTATATATTTTCTATATCATCTAAGTTTGCCAGATCAATCGCGGCAGTTCCCGGGGGACACCCTGTATAGTAACAATTGCCGTACCAATGGACGAACACAGCAGCACAAGCATGCATTCTGTTTACCTAGCATTTTGTGTCAATGGATGAATTGTCTATTCTCAGTCTCAGCCTTCAGCAATGCTAAATGCTGTACTTAGCCTACAGAATATTGTCTAAAAGAAACATTTTCTACTGAAGTAATTTTTTCTACTTGGTTTGCTTACTATTTTCTTTTTACTAATTTGTATTCCACCGTTCACATCTGCAATCAACTGTTGTGATTGTATACACATTATAAAACAAAAGTCCAACATTCTTGATTTAAGGTCCAGATTTTCTTACGTTTTGATTGGGGGTGTAAAATTTTAGCCGCCGCCACATTAGACAAACATGAGGCCAAACTCTATTATTAATAGAGAGTTTTCAGGCCCCTTAAAATTACGTTGACCTTAAACGCTAAACGTTATTGTGATCATGCGCAGTGTTTAAAAAATACGGTGTTCAGGCAAATAACGTTAAGTGCGTTTCTTTGTTTTTGATACCGCGTTTGTTGTACGCTTAATAAAATAAACCTCACTTTATTGTTTTCTTATCCCGTTTTGTTTGGAAAAGTTTCAAAGCTAGTTTAAGTTTGTATTGTAATTGAACAAAAAGTGGCTAAGATGGAAGAAAACATTGAAGCTGCCTTTCTGCACCGAAATGATCAGGGAGATGTGGATGACGATAATTAAGCAATAATGGCCTAAGCTAGTCAATGAAAAAGTCTTATTTAAATTTACAAAGATTTCTTATTCTATTGTAGCCGCCTATTTTATTAATAATATTAGAAATAAGTCAAATATGTCAACACCGTCGTTCTGCTTTTTAACGTGAAGCTTATTAACGTTAGCGCTACTCGTACGTAAATAAAGGAACACGTTATCCCCTAATAACGTAAACGGTTATTTCTTTACTAATGCGCATGCTCAGAATAACGGATAACGAAAAACATACACTACAAAAGTCTGAATTTCTACTACTTGAGCCCCCCTGACTCGAAAGGTGGATCCGCTCCTGAATGTGTTGCAATTAAGGGCCCCAAAAACTCCCTTATTAATAACGGACTTATAATTCTTTGCAAGTATTAAGTCAATCCACTTATTCCCGCAAAGGAATATGGAAAAAATAATAATTCGTATTTACTGTAAACTCGTCAGCGGTATTTATTTACTAGTTTACTAGCGGTTTCCTGCTTCATAGAATATGCACAAAAAACACAAGTACATTTTTTAGTTAACTTATTATACAATTTTAAAGTAAAAGTTGACAAATGATAGAACAGATATTTGGATCAATTACCCCCCGATTAAGTTCTGTTTTATTTATGTCCCACTTGTTCAAAGATTTACGTCCTAATTTTATATACTTTTTCACTTAAAGTTAATCGTGAGTGAATCTATGAGGACATTTTTAATGCGGTTCCATATCGCACAACACGATATTGGCTTTAAACAAGTCGTCTTTGCATTTTTGCTACAAATTGAACCATTTAAAAACTAATTATTTTCCCCTTTATTACTACTTACAAAACTATAATAAAATAATTAATTAAAATACTAAAAATTTAACAATAAAAGTTGGTCCTCACGCGTACTGGCATCCTTTTCTCCCGAACACTTTGCTTCGATCCCGCTCATTGCGCAGTTGGCACCCATGAATATTGCGTGTCATTTTCACTCCTAAAAGTTGACGGGGTTGTACACGCTTGCGGTTTTTTACCACTTCACCGTTCCATTACTGTCAAGCAACGAAATTAAATCTGTTTAATCCCGGTTATTCATCCAAAGGTAAGTTCCCATTTCATGTACTTACATGGTCGCCCTTCCAGCCCTAGGGCTCCCATAGGGCAACTCCCCATGAGCTCTAACCGGTATAAACATAAACACTCGGGTCTAGTGGTAGCCCCAACATTTACATGCTGACAGTTCTCGCCCCCGGCGAATGGCGCGAAGCTTCAAAAATTTACATTTAGTGCCGTGAAGTATTTTTGTAAAACAAATTGAACGCGCATATTTAAATGAATTGCATCCATTACCCGCTAAACAACTTTGTGTTTCAGAAACGTATATTTAAATCCCGAAACGTTTCAGTTATCTGCACTATATGTTTCAGAAATGTTTATGTAACTGAAAATGTCCGCCCTCAGAAACGTTTGGCTCAAATGTATCAAGGAAATGTTACTGAAACGTTGCGCTAAACGTTATTTAAACGTTGAAAATAAATATTCTGCGACCTTATACATGGTGTATCTTTGAATAGTGCAAATATTTTAATTGATAGTATCTACATTTTGGCCCTAGAATCAGAACTATAGGATTGTCCTGCTTCGAGGACAAAAATGTACCACCATTTAAAATATTTGTACTCATCAAAGAATCACTTTATAGTTTCGTGATTCCATAACGTTTTCATAAAAATATTTACAAAACATTTTAAGCTGACTTGTTTCAAAATGTTTGAGATTTGCGATTCTAACAGGTTCGAAAAGTTGATAAATAAAACTCAAGAACAAACACAAACACAAAAATAAAAGTAAATTCTTAAACCTCAGTAGTCTCTAAGCAAAGGCCTCCATCCAGTCTTCTTTGAGTTGGGTAGATAATGTTGGTAGGTGATGAGTTGGGCAACATGAGCCTAAAAGTGAAACAAAGATAAAACAGTGCTATATACAGTGTACAGTTCAAGATGATGTATGGAGCAGGTATTAAAAATATTCAATATAGGTCTAAACAACTGTTAGGATGATATAGTTAGATTACGTTCTTGTTCATCAAACGCCAAAGATGCCTGTTAGAAATCTTTCTTTTCTTTGTCCGGCTCATTTTATTGCCCTGAAATGATATTGATGAGCCTGGGAATACTAGTACATTTATGAACGGAACAACTGGAAATTAGAACAACATAACATCGTCCACATGGTCTAAGTTAGAGCTAATTTAGTTAAATACACCATAATTTAGTTGTATGCTTACCTATTCTAAAGTTTCTACAATAAAAAAGTATAGGTACTTTTTCCAATACCAATGCTAAACTAATTTTGCTGAACCAGTAATCTAATTATGAAAAATTAAATAATATAACCTCCCAAATCATGCGTTGTTTGGATAGACAGAGTGGTTATGTTTTATAAGGTAGAACCATGAATCGTGTATGCGCTAAAGACGTCTCTGAAACATTTTTGAAACGTTTCCATGATATGTTACATTTGTGCAATACAGGGTGATTCAAAATTGGTGTCATTCCTTTTAAGGGGTGATAGAGGCTCCCTTGGGGAGTACGAGAAAAATATTGAAAATTTTTTCTTCGGAAATTTCTAGAAGATATTAACAGTCGAAGATCGAATTTTAACTTTGCTATTAAGCATTATTTTTAAATGGTTCCATGTTTAATTGGTAGCATATGGGAATACTTAAGCATTCAAAAATAAAAATTACGATCTTTGCTTCAAATTACGAAAATTTTTGATATCAAAAAAGTTCTCTTCTACAAGTTTTTGATGAAAAGGCACGGCGGCAATGATGCTTTTTGTCATTAACATATAGTTACAGGTGGATAGCCCTTGTCAATCATAACAATAATTTGTCAAACTCTGACTACCTTGAGTTTCCTTTCACGAATTTGCGGATATGCGATTAGTTCGGGGGAAATGCTACAGTAACATAGCAGAAGCTAAAAGAACTCACGCCAACTAAGGGCGAGGAGAGTGGTTCCAGGAAGATAGTGGACGATAGATGTTCGGATTACAGGCACAGAGGAACACGTATTGGACATAACCGAATTAGGACCTTCCAGGGGCACTCAGAGCACAATAACTTACACTTTCCCAAGCACCAAATAAATACCGGCTACGTTCCTACCACGTTTATACGATACACAATACAAGGAGATACAAATAGAGCAGGAGTTAATTAACTGAATACGAGAAGCTGCTTGATAAGAGTGGATAATAAGGAAATTAAGAGTGGATAATAAGGTTCATTTCACAGACTAGTCACTTTATTTATAAACACCAATATTCGAGGTTATGAGAACAGGTTGACATGTCGTCAACAAATCTTGTTGAATTTACCGTTTATCCTTATCTTATTGTCAGTCTGTATAATTCCATGGTTACCGGAGTTTTAAATAATTACGAAGCCACAAGTATTTGCGCAATGTTAATTAGGCAGATTACCTTGAAAAACATTGCTGCCGTATTTCTGATATAGTTTTTTGCAAATTTCTCAGTTTTTAATAACAATTAATTTATTTTACTATTTTTTCTGTACTCCTATAACAGCGCCAGACAACACTTCCATAGGAATGGCGCCAATTTTGAATCACCTTGTATAACTACAAGTTTGATACGTTTCTGTAAGGTTTCATGTTTAGCGGGTATGTTGACAACTCTGGCGCTGGGTTTCTTCATCATCATGGTTTCTGTCCGAAAAGTGGCAGTTTGTAATTAATTCGAATAAAAAAGACGTTATTCAGTTTGCATAGATTTAGATCGCATTTAATTAACTAATTGTGTTCAGAACGCCATTGTAAAAATAAGCTTTTAAGTGCCTACATAGATATTGCACATGAAGTGCATGAACATATTTTTTACTTGTACTTTTTGGAAGTACATTTTAGTCTGTACTTGTGTGAAATGAAGTCAAATGATAAGTAGTGCCAAGGTAAGCTATTATGGAGGAGGTATTTGTAAAGAACAGGCTCTTTCAACATGGTCAAGTCTAAGAAGCCACGCAAAGAAATTTCATCCAGGTAAATTTTTGTTCAAATCAAATTTTCTGGTTTTTATGTATGCTGTGCTTAGGCGACAAATCAAATAACTTGTTATTTTAGGAAACGTGGATGAGTTAGCTCCGAAAAAGACTTATAATATCTCTGTTATCTGCGATAAATGCAATAAATCGTTCTCAGATCATTCCAGTTTGAGACAGAGTATGTGAGAAAATTTCACCCAGATAATTATTAAGTTTAGATAGCTGTCAATGTATGAATGGAATGTATATGTACATGAGTAATTCGAAATAATAATTTTAATTAGTTTATACTCGTATTGAAGTGTAAGAAGTTACTTAAATTAGATGAAATGGAAGTTTTGTCGAAATATAAATGTTTTTCTTACAAATGCCCAGAATGTCCAAAGCAATTTTCCGGAGTGGCTAATTTTAATGCCCATAAAAGGATACTTCAGACGGCGATAGTTTATCCCTGTAGTCCCAACCAATTAAAGTGTCCTTTGTGCAAATATACGAAGATAAGTTTTAGTAAGTAAGAAAAGCATGAAATAGCTCCACTCGAAGCATCACTGAATGCCATTAAAGTGGTTGGCAGTAGATTTGTATACGCCAGACAATAAAAAGGTAGATAAGCAAAGACGAATCTTTTCAGCAAAAAAAAATCGTAAATGGAGATCTCGGTTGAAGAAACCTATTAGTATGACTCAAATGCAAATTACAAGTAATATAGAAGAATTCAAACAAATACTGAAGTATGAAAATTTATTAAAATTTACTTCTTCTTCAAGTAGCACTGAATGTAAATTTTGAACCGCGAGCGCTATTCACCGGGGCCATTTTTTGAGCGTCATCCGCCGGGGCCAGAACTGTCAGGCTTGGCCCACGTAACTGTTGGGGCTGATACTCGAGGCGAGTTTATAAACCGGATGAAACCACAATAATCTTCGATTTTCTTAGATAATACGACATGACTTCCACGAACATCTATCAAGGGATGCACGGCACGAAGAACTCCAGTAAAGTGATCAAACCTCCCGGTGGGGCACACACGGACATTTTTGGAGCTCCCAGTCTTCCAGTGAAGCGTGACTCTGGCCGAAATGCTTCATCCATCACCGAAGGAACCAACGCAGGGGTTGAGGGCCCCGTTGGCCCAATGCCCCATCATGAGACCAAATCCGAACCACCCGCAGCTGCAGGTTCTTGCGCCCCTTCTACTCGCCAGGTCCCACCTGGTGGCTTCTCTTCAGGGCCCTTTTGGTGATTGTGCCAGCGGTTGCTTTTGCCTGCCAATTTAATTTTAACCTTATTTATTACTTACTCACTGACCGACTTAGGATGTGATATTTAAACTACGAATGTATGTTTTTTTTTAATTTCGCAGTTCTAGCACGCCTAAGTGAGCTTTTATACCTATATTTAATAAAAACTCCGCTTTTCTGCAGTGACCTGGCATTTTATTTAAAATGCTCACCGCCCAATATTTACTTTAAATTGTGAATTCCAATGGACTCGAAGCTGGGCAATTCAAGTTACTGGTCCTTAACTGAATAGACTTAAAGTCTGTGCCGACTGCTAATCAGCTGCCCAAACAGTCTGTATGACTCCCAGGAACTTCCTGACTTCCGATTTAGGCCAATAATAAATGATTCATCCGCGTTTTATCACCTATGGCTCCGATCAAGGGGATTAGACAGACTAAAGCCCGTGTCCCATGCATCCGTTTGTACGATGGTACGATGATACGAAAGTGTTTCTATTGGTTGGGGATCTGTCAGTTCCGTGCTCATCGCTGGATGATCTACAACTTATTATGGAGGGAAAAGTAGAAGATGGAGAAGACTGGTTAGGAAAAAACAAGCCTTGATACCAAAAGCGTCAGGATAGTCCCGACGCGTCATGCGGCACAGAATCGAGAATATTTTTTTCATGGTGGCTAACTTTTGGTGCAAGACGACAGAGAAGTAATAAAATTGATACAATTAAAAAGCACAATTTTTGCAATTTTGAATTGGATTTAATTAAAACTCGACAGCGCGATGCAATAAATCGTACGAAAAAGCCAGGAAATTGTTTCTTTTTTGAGTTAAAGATAAATATAAGCAAATTTTATTTTAAGACCAATCAGTGTCGTATCAATTTAAATTAAAATTTTGTTTTAATTAGTTCAAGAAAAGCTGATATTTCCGCATGGGGATAACGCCAATTGAGAATCATCTTCAATATGTCCCGTGAGCATGCGTTAAAAAAGCATTAACACATTATTTATATGAAATGAAGTGTTCATTGATGGTTAAAAAAATTATGTGTTTAAATATCTCGAGAATGATACCAGGGACTTCAATGAAACTCGCTGTGAATTTGAAATCATGTAAGAAAAGCACCCGAGTTTATCCGCTACGGGCAAGTGAAGGATTCTTGAGTGACTTGGTACAAAAACAACTAGAGCTTTTTATTTAGTAGCTGGAATCAATTTATTTGTTTTGAGTTGATGCACTAAGCTTTTTTGAACATTTTTCGGTTCTCTGTAAAATCTTGTATCATTGATAGTTGTTGCGCTATTATTTTTTCTATTTTTAACAGTTTCAGACATTAACTGCAAACGTGGTAGTGAGCGATTATTTTCGTTCTCTTATAATCAATTAATTTTAAAGCGTTTTATAATTTTTGACTGACCGACTTAGGCCCGGATGTCTTTTGGAAGCGTTTTCGTCCGAATAGCCTTCCTCAGAGATCTCACGATAAGGAAACGAGTTTTTAACAAAATATGGTCCTGACGTAGGAACAAATCCAACAGCAAGTTTTATTGCAATCCATCTGAGCGCTTTTTCGATAACAAAAAAAAAATGGTTTTGTTATAGGCATGGTCGGTATTTAACGTAACCGCTAAAATAACAGTGTTCCAAACGTGTAACCTGAAACCGTAGTTACAGCTAGCCGATTTAATCGATTGTTTTTGAAACCGACTCATAAAACCGAAACAGTTGTTCGCGCTTCGCAGCAGCTGCGGCACTTTCAGTAACCATTTGTCAACGGAAAAGATGTTGTATGTAGTTGTGCGTTGCCTTAATTATCACTTTTCTTTTATAATAATTACTGTTCAGTTCTCCAGAAACCATAGTTATTTGAACAGTAATAGACGTTGTAAGGTCGACTTATTTTTTTTTAATTATTTTTTGGTGGTACCAAAATTATCTCGAGTAATACTTCACCCAGGTTACCCAAACACGCATTTCTGCTTGTTATTGTGTATTATTTAATGTTATTGTGAAACGAATTGCGAGAGACTATTTTCTAAAGCGGGTGCTATCATAAACGAGCGAAGAATAATAATAAAAAAGACTCAGTAATAATAATAAAAAATTTAATTCTTAAATGTTAATTCATTTCTAAACGAAAATGAGATTATTAAACATTTTCGCATATAAACCGTATATTTTATTTAGTCACTCTAGTTTATTATCAGTTTTTTTGCTCTTTAAGCAGTTGCTTCTGATTCATGTTTTGTTTTTAATTTTAGAATATTTTATTTTAAGTTTACCAATGTTAAGTATTAAGTTTTTAATAAAGAAAATCATTACATGTCAACACTATTTCTGTAACATGTTCCTTTTGGAACCGCATGTTGTAACTTATTACCAAGGCAAACTGGAACGAGGTAACTTGTGCCAGAAAAATAACCGTTCTTAATAGCTTCTTATGGAACGGTCTAAACCTATCAGAATGGGTTACGACGCCGTTATATCTGGCATAGATAAAGACAAGTAGTCATTTCTCTCTAGCACGCAGACAGCCGGTTGTGTGAATATAATAGTGTGTAGTATGTGGACCGTTCGCGTGAATATAGCTGTGTGTAGTCTGTGGGCCGGTGTTCTTTGGATTTTGTCCGAACCGCTTTCGTCAGAAATCGTGCGAAAAGGAGCGAATGATTCGATTTCATTGCAACGCACTGAAGCTCGTCCACTAGATGCAAAACCATTCGTACGAATTCCCACGAACCATTCTAAGTAAAATGGAACCTTAGGCCGGTCGTCTTTTGGAAGGATTTCGTCAGATTTCTCATATGTGGGTATCGTCCACTGGAAGGTTTCTTATCGTTAACATTATTTACAAAGCAATAGAATTTAAAAAAATTTCAATATTTTCAACATTTTTTGGTTTCTATCAATAATATGAAGTTATCACTTCTGTCGAGTGTCTCGGGACGCACACGTTTTTTTGCGGAAAACCTATGAATGCCAGAAAAATTTACAAGGAGGACAAAGGATTGCTACCACAACTCAAAAAAAATCAGTTGATTCCAGCTGCCAAATGAAAGGTTGAGGTAGTTTTTGTGCCAGGAGCTGCATTCGCTTGCTTCATCAAGGCATGAGTCTTCAGGAACAAATTTATAGCGCGTTTCATTAAAACAAAAACAAAATTGTAGAAGGTGACTGTGAACTTAGACCATCAATAAAAGAGCAGCCAGGCATTTTCTTAGTAAAGTTTGTTCAGATCGTCTTATTTTGATCGAAATAAAATCGCAGAAACCTTTTGATCGTATGCTTACGGGACAACCTGTAGGCCAAAGCGTTGGATGGAGCAAAAAATTAGAAATTAACCATTAAAGTACCTAATAAATTTTTCATTAAATGCACTTGAATAATTTAACTTGTGGAATCCAAATGAACTTTTCCGATTCCCTGAAGAGTTGGGTCTGAAATAATTCACTGAATTGGCATCAAACTACGAGCTTATTGTGTAGGCCCACATCTGTTATACCCATGAATTAACCTCGATAATCCAAAAATCCATTTACAATGGACAGGAACTATCCATTTGACATGGAAAAACCTCTCAAGCTATATCAGTAGTCAAACTGTCAGAAGTCAGAGTACAAAGCTATTCCAATTAGACGAATCGGGATGGTGAGCACGCGGTGTCAATCAAAACCGTTTCTCTCGCTTATTACCCATTTGACATGGAGAGGCGCTCCTGTACCCCCTTCGAATGGCCATCCCACATTTCGCCCCCTCCAGGAGGGCTTTTGGCATTCTGCGCGTTTTGTCAAAAGCTCTAAAAGCCTTCGAGAAGGGCTGAAAGCTCACTGCTTCGCGATTCGAAAGCACTACGAGCTAGTTGTTTGGCGGCAGAGCACGCATTTGTACCGAATTCTTCGTGTTTCAGGTTCGCCAGCGGAAAACAGTGACGTATTTTTGTTGGGATAGGTTATTTCCTCGAGGTTAATAACTGATTAACAGCTTCACGGACTCATTGTTGGTTCATCTAATCAGTGTATGTTTGGATTTGTTGTGCGATTTCATCAATTTTATTTTTCGCGCCTTTATTTTGGACTTCTGCTCTAATCGGCTTTCACTAAAAGCCTGAAAATTAAAGCGGTAAGTTTTCCTACCATCTAAGCAATCAAATTTTATAGTCTTTTCCTTGATAAAGTCTTTAAAATGCATTTTGGTAATCATTGGCGCTTCTGGATTCCTGATAGAAAATAACTTTAGTGGGAAAACCAAATTTGTCAATTTATACCAAAAGCTGTTGTAGGCTTTGATTGGAGCTACCGAACCAAAACCATAAATGTTCTTCATTCCTCAAACTGAATTTTGTTTTATTGCCGAATTAACTAGTGAACTTGTATAATGCATAAAACAGGAAAATTATAGCCGCAGTTTAATATAACTAAAAAATAGGTATATGTACGAGTATACCTACTCTCCACATTAT